TCTGATCGCTACCGCGCCAAACGCCGTAGACGTTGTTGGAGAAGGTAGCGGCCGGGCTCTCCGGAAGCGTCTCCAGCGCATCCTCGATCGAGTCAACAAAGCCGAGGTGACCTTGAGATTCAAAGTCCATGATGGTTGTCAGCGCAGCTGTGCATATACGTACGGAGGCCGTGGACGTCGGCGAGCTGTGGTTCTCGCCACATCGCAGGGACGGAACCGAACAAGGTGAGACTCAGCAATGCAACACCTCTATGCCACTCACAGATCAGAGCCTACTGACAGTCGCAACCCACCGGACGCAGCCACATCTTGCCTCAATCACCCGATCGCCATCTCCTGGCCGGAACCCATTCTGTGACCGCTCTGCGCCCTCGCCCTCCACCACATGACTACCACGCACACTCTCATACATCGAATGCGTTCATCCTATGCTGAAAATACCCGATCCCGTCTCGCTCTCGGAAGTCAAGCAGCATGAGGCTTGGTTAGTACTGTGGTGGGGGACCACACGGGAATACCGAGTAACGCATTCTTTCTTCTTTTTGCCCAACTACACACCCTCCTTGCATGCATGCACCCCCCCTGGCCCCACCATCGCCATCAATCATTTCTCGTTCAATTAATCATGACCAGCTCCATCAATTAACTCTCATTGAAATAATCATACCTTCTCCCCCGGCCCTTCCCCCGGCACTCGCCCGATATCCAAAAATCGCCCAATCGCCACCTGTCGCCCTCGCCGTCACACGCAACGCACACTCCGCACACCCCTCTCACTGTGCCCATGGACCCCGCCCCAGGGGACACAGGGGACCCCCCGCGCCCTGCACACGCACCAGTGCAGCAGGGTTCTGCCAAGCGCCCCCGCCCGCTGCTCACCGCCAACGCCAGCTCGGCCAGCTCGGCCACCCTTTCCTCCGCAGTCCCCCAGAACATGCATATCGAAGCGACGTCATCGTCACCAGCCGGGCCCTCCTCCACCAAGTCATACGATGTCTTCCTCTGCCACGGCTCCAACGACAAGGGGCTCATGCTCTCGCTCCGCGACAAGCTCGTTGCCCTCGGTCTGCGCGTCTTTCTCGACGTCAAGTCGCTCGACGCCATGATTGTCCAAGATCCCGCAGACTGCGCCCGGCTTGCCCGTGACTCACACGTTGTGGTCGTCGTCGTCTCAAAGTACTCAATCGTCACACGGTGGGCCATCGCAGAGGCCGACGCAGCCCTCGCTGATCCGACTTGCAAGGTCTTTCCGGGTTTTTGCCGACGCTGAGCTCTCGCTCGAGACCGTCTCGTCGCCGGCATGGCGTGACGGCCCGCGGGATGCCAGCCACCCTCTACTGGCGTACATGGCGGCGGCTTTCCCGCCGCAGATCCCGAACAACCGTC